GTTAATTTAAAAGAAGATCTTTAAGAATCCTAACTGTGAATCCGTAGAACAAACCTAGCTGAAAATCCAGAAAATTCACGCTTACCTCAATGACGACTGTGCTGCAAGTTTGAGGCGAAATGTGCTTTATTTGCGCAGAAAAGGGGAGATAACAGGCACAAACTTCATGGCCTGTAATTATTTGTAATACCGTGAAAGTCCCAAATAGGATTTCCATCGCATGAACATGTGCACATACAATTTGAAGAGACGCATCTTGCATCTTAGTAATCCTCCTAAGGAACAACTTCTTCAGCCCATTGTGTTATATTGCTGGTATCTGTAAAAAGTAGGGGAGAGCGTAAAAGTAAGAAATAAGTCCACGTTGTACCATTTCTCATTTAGCCAAACTTTCCTCCTTCCTTAGCGTGGGCTGTGACAGAAACACAGTCAGTTGAGTTTATTTCAAGGTTAGTTTTGTCAGGCTAATGGCACGGAGAAGTGCTGCGGCATCTTTTATGTGTTGGCTTACGTGGTCAAAGCCGTGGTTAGCTACCCACTGCAGTTCCCAGCCTTCAAGTACTCTGACTGTGTTCTAGACTGGTAAGACTAGCTTTTGCAAAACTACCACGTTTACAAAGTATAAAAGTGTAAGTTATGTTCACGCATAAATGTTCTGATTCACAGTTCCATTCCTAACAGGGGGACCGAGATGTTTCAAAGTCGGCATCTGGGCTCCTCCTCTTGTGTAGACCATGCTCCAGCTTTTTCTTCAGTGTGAGCTTCTTTAAGGATTGATATATATGGGATAACAGAGGAGCAATGGTCTCGCAAAGGATTATATTAAAGGAAAAAAAAAAGATGTGAGTGATTTGTGCTCATCTTGCCTATTTTGAGCCCCTTTGGGACAGGCTCTCTATTTTGTGTCAGGAAAGAAAGACGATAAAATACCCATGATTTTGCACGAGCCCGCTGGCGAGAGGGGTGCTTAACTCCTGGAGCACTGCGGCTGCAGGCGGGCATCCACCATGGCTCTTTATTAGTGAAGAGGGATGACAGAGAGGAGCCTTGCAGTTACTGAGAGGATGAGTTTACAGCTTAGCTAGAGGGTCTGTCTGGAGCTTTCACTTGCTCCGTGGAGTTGAGTCCACTTGGATATTATCAGTGTGTGTCCCTCCAAGGAGATGTGTGTGCTGTTTTAACAGCTGTCCATCCCCCCCCAATGTTTTCTTGCACGAAGATGTAAAGAAAGAGTGGAAGAGCTACAACCTCAGCTGATTTTTACTCCCTATCGCACTGAAGCAGCTCTGTCAATTTTCAGTTGTTCAGCTGAGTTTCTTCAAGCTTTGCAAAACATCCAGAGCATTTCGGATTCTCTTAATGCCGACCGCTCTTGCACGAATACCAGCAGTCAGCCAGACTTTCCTTCTCCTCCCTTCCTTCCCTATACAAATTGCTTCCCCAGGGCCATCCAAATACAGGGCTCGTATAGGAGGGAAGGAAATCAGTGTGCTTCAAAATCCAGCTGTCACCAGGTGAATAATTCCTTCAAATGATGAATGTAGCAGGTATCTCATCTACTCAGGAAGGTCCTAAATTTGATTTTGTTTTTCTTTGCCATCAAGAATGTGCTGCAGAAATTTCTTTTTTTTGGCACAATCAATGGAAGTCCCCTCAAATCCCAAGGGCAAATGCTCCTAAGGTTCTGTGGGTAGACCAGTTGTGTTCATCCAGTGCCACATCCAGGAGAACAGAGATGTGTCAGGTTCAGGTCAGAGGTGCTGCTCTCTGGTCTGTCTTTGTTCTCAGGACCAATTTGCGACTTCATCTTGCATAATGCCTACCTCCGTGTGGATATGCATCCAGTCCGTGGGCAATAACAAAGATTTGTGGTGGAGTCAAGTCCTTCCCAACATCAAGGAACTGTCCTTCAGACTTCACATAATACTGTCTCTGCAGTCGAGGAAAAAGTTGGCATGTGTGGAAGGTTGTTCATAAGTCTTAGCAGAGGACTTCAGCCCTGGAGCATCTTAGAGCTGTTCTGGACCTGCACACCCTGTTAATCTTGACTGAGTCCTGAGAAGCACCTACATTTGTCAATTAATCTTTCTGTATTCATATGTAATGCCAAGAGACAAGAAGATGCATACTTTTGACATCGCCAGAGCCTTGCTCTTTCTGTTGACTTAACAGGACGAAAACTCTTAAGCTGTCTCCTGTCAATTTTATGGCTGTCCCTGGCTTGTTGAGATGCCACATTATCTCATCGCAGGGGACCCGAGTGCATTGCGCCACGTCTCCACCGATCGCTCCTTATCTGCCTTGATGTGCAGAGAAGAGGTTGCCACATTTCATCAGGTTACACAGTCGGTGGCTTTCCACCGGAGTGCAGTAATACTTGAGATTAGCAGCCACATGGAACAAAATGCTGTTGCTTGCCAGGCAGTAAACCCTTGACGCTTGAATTTTGTTGTATGTTCATTTTTTTTTCTTCAATCTTGTTTTAGCAAGGGCAGCTGGCACCTTCTGCCTCTCCTGTTAAGAAGGGCTACAGCTACTTACCACCTATAGCAGGAGGTGCATGCATAGAAGAGTCATTTCAAAAGTGGATTTCTTCAGAGCAGGATTATTCAGCCGGGGTGGATCTCCAACATACCCCCTGCCTCTGTTTTCGGAGTTTCTGGCTCCTGCAGACAACAAATTTGGGAGGGATGGGGAAGGCCAGCCTTTCAACCTTCTTGCCCTGCACAGAACCACCAAGTGATTACAGTAAAGTAGAACATGCAACCACAGTGGATGGTGATACCCTGTTTTTCATGCTTGAGAGATACAGATGCTCATAGTGGTGCGGTAGGGGAAACGCGTATTCTGCCAGTTAAGTGGTCATGGTGGTTGTCTTCTGAGGACGTGGTAACTCCATCAGGTGTGTCCTGGCAAAAAGATTGGTTCAACATGCTCACAGCTGTTGCGAGTTACAAACCTACAGATCTAAGCAACTTCACAGCTTGCTTAGGTGTTTAACGTGCTGAATATATTGTCTGTTTTACAGGCAACACAAAAGGAGGAGAATTGTTTCTTTAGAGGATTAAAAACAAGTTACTTAGCTGTGTTCCTGGGGAAGCAGTGCTAGAGTGCCTTAACAAGCAAGTCACTGTTTGTTCGATGACAGGTTTGGTGCTAATTTTGCTGCTGTCTGCTCCTGTTTGCATCTCATGGTTGTGGGTAAAAGCAGCAGAGTGGTGATTAGCTCAAACCCTGCTGAAAAAAAAAAAAAAACCAGTGGCTTCTGAAGAACAAGGGAGTGAGAGTATATTACCCTCTGGCGTTTTTATTTTATTTAGCAGGTAAAACTGTTCATTGAACCAGAGTTCATTTACAGTGGTACCCCAGCAGACTGCAGCAGCAGGATGAATTACCAATCACTCACAGTGCAAACAGGAATCATTCAAACCCTGGATCATCTGTACTCAGGAGTTCAAGTCTCTTGCACTGCACACTAGATAGCTGCTAGTGTCTCTCCCTTGCCTACAAAATCCTATCTGGCATCCCAGTCCCTGTTTTAGTCCCGAATCACATTTATATCTGCATTCCCCCCGGTGGGTTTTGATTCTAATGCTGTTAACCAGAAGCTGAATGGTTCACGGGATTAGACTCTCTTAGCCACCAAATTAATGGAAATTGGAGTATATGCTTCCTTTGAGGATATACTTTCTTTTCAGGAGTTGACTTGGAGGATCATTGGTGAGATAATATCAGGAGTCTTAACTAATCCCCTAGTGATTGTACCGGGGTGAACAAATCTGTCTATAACAGTTAGCCCAGTGGTCCGCCACAAGGCTACTCTTGCCTGATAAGCGGCCTTTTGCATTGAAAAGGGTTTTTCTCCCTTTGCTCTGAAGCTGGTGGCTGTGCAAAGTCCCGAACCTCGTGGCAAGGCAGCTTGCGACCCTGTTGGGGCTGGGTCGGGGCTGGCTTTCCGCTGCCTTTGGAGCGGGGCGTATTCTAGTCACTGAGTTTATTAAAAATGCATGCGTTAAGCGATGCAATAATTACGGCAAGTTTGTCTGGGGATGGATAGCAGCAGTGAGAGAAATGGAGAAATGTGTCTGAGAAAAGATATCAGCTGCCTTTGGAGAAAACAGTTTGCGGCGGGCGCTTTGGCAGCATACGTTACAACTGCTGGCACAAGGACAGATGCGGGACACCGGTCTGGGAGCGGTGGTTCAACCTCGGCATCTCCAGGGCTGTTGCCGACGCCCCAGCGCTTACATGCTTTAGGTTTATTGGGACTATATCATTCCTTTGGATTTCCCCCTGTCGGAACGATTTTGGTTTGGGAGGGTGTCGCATCAGGAATGCGGTCTGAAGAGCAGAGGCTGTCTCCCCCGGTTTTTGCCTGGGGTTGCCTGGCTGACGCTGCAGACCACTAATTTGCAGACAATGAGGATATCTCCAAAGGCAACTCCGTCAATTGGCAGGAGGTAAATAGATGCTGCCTTTCTGAAGGCTGGAGCCCTCTCTGTTTATCTTCCCTTCCAAACTGGGGGTGTCTGCTATTGCTCTCCGATTTCTTCTCCTCTTTGTTTGACTTGTCTGTGGCTATGGGAGAGGTTGCGTGGCCTCAGAGATGGAAAGGTTTTGTCATGGTGATTAGTCAGTTTAGTTAGGGCGCTGGAGACCTTTGTCCATATGCTGCCAAAAGATGAAAATGATTATTATTATTTGCCCACTTCACAGGGAGACTGTGAGGATTAATTCATGTTTGTAAATTGCTTTGGAGATTTAAAGCTCTGTACAAGCACTAAGGATTATTGCTTTCTAATTCTTTAAGGTAATATAACTTTTATAAAGACTTTTAGCCTCGAAAGCATCGTGGAAATGGGAAGAGTTAAGTCCCTTTGAAATTAGATACACTTCTAATGTTTAAGATAAAAACAACTGCTGCCTCTCTGGGGCTTCTTCCAAAAAAGAATAAAAAAAAACAATGGCAGATTTTGATAGTGCCTCTTCTTTTTTTCCAGGAGTCCAACGTGCTGATTGCTGCTAACAGTCAGGGTACAATTAAGGTAAGTTATTTCATGCATCTCCTCTTTAAACGCTTGAATCTGTCGTTAGTAAAGAGCAAGGTCAGAGAAACCGTACAGCCAGGAGAAACCATTAGAGGAGGTCATCCCAACTGTAGAATTTTGTAATTGAAATGATGTATTTGCCTCTGGCACATGGCGGAGCAAGCAGACAGCACACCAGCAATGAAACCCAGTTAAAGCAAGGTGTAGAAAAGCTGCTGGCGGCCGTCCAGCACCCGCCGTGCCTCCGCTGCTCCTTGGGGTCCTGGTAGCACGGAGGGTCTGGCAGAAGCATCTCCCCAGGCTCGTGCTGGTTCTTGTGGCAGCAGAGGCTGCACGTTAACTGGCCGGCCTTAACCAGAGCCCGTCCTCTGGCTGCTGCCGCCGACACGGGGTGCAGCAGAGCTGAAAGCTGAGCTCCTGATGTGCAGCCGGCTGGAGCAATGTTTAAAAAGAGCAGGGATGCTCCCTCACTTTGCTTACTCCTGGTGCCCAGACTGGCTGTAACAGACAGCAGCTGCCAGTGCAGGGTTTTGTGAAAGCAACAGCCTTCCCCGTGCACCGAGAAGCCAGCATTTTGCTAGGTTTTCAGCACTCGAATTAGAAGTCTTCCAGAGTGTCTGTTCAATGTATTTCTACCCATGAAATGTCAAGTAATATGGAAAAGACTTTGTCCTCCTTTTATGCGTCTGTCAGACAGCCAAGCAAAACCAGTATCCAAACCAGTACCTGATGCTCCGGAGAACCCCAGGTCTGATGCCATCCCAAATTGTACACAGCAGCGTTGACCTCCACCATGCTTTTGAGGCTTGGCTGTTAACGCCACAAGCTTGTAGCCCAGAGCCCTGGGCTGTAGTTGCTGATGAAGGGGTTTACTTGCTGTTTGCAAAGTTGCACACTGGATTGTCACTCTTATGAAGCTGAGGTCCTCATCCTGATTTCCCCTCGCATCCCTGTGACGATAGCAGCTCTCTGGAGCCAGACCAGAGTTGCTGGTCTGAATGGTCCTGGAAAAATCACAAAAAAAGCAGGAGTGGGGGGAGACCCAAATGGCCTGTGTCAAGATTTTTTTTTTTTCTTCCTTTTTAGGCCACGAGTGGCCTGGTTACTCCTGCTCTGACAGCGTGTGATGCTGTAACCTCTTGTTCGTAGGCCATTTATTTAGCGGGCTGTGGAATTGGTTGCTCATTACTTTGGTCACTTCCTTCTTAGTAAAATGGGCAAAATGCACAGACGCTTTTGATATCTTGAAGTGAATCCAGCAGCAACAGGAGAGTGATTAGAGAGGAGAGGTTTTGCTCATGCACTTTGCTTGTTAATGAGAGAAGGTAGACAGAGAAATGCGCAAACAGCCAGGGCTGTCAGAACTCTGGTATTTCCATTTGCCTTTGGTAGCACGCAGGGGAAAGGTGGGATGGTCTGGGAGAGGACTGGGTTTGCGCAAATCCACTCCAATCTGGGGGCAGATGCCAAGCCCTCGAGCTTTCCCCAGTAAAACCACCCCCGGTTAATACGGGCTGTGCAAATTGCTCTGCAGGTGACAGCCCTCGCAGTTACTTTTCTTCTGCCATCTCTAGACCATGCCTTCAGAGGCTGACGCACCATCTTAGCGCGGACAAGGGAAATGTGAGCACGGAGGGCCGAGAGGGCAAAATCTCTGATCTCTATTACAAGATTTCCAAGAGCTGGTTGATTGGGATGAGTGGAAATGAGACAACTGTGGGTGGTTTTGCTTCATGCCGTAATTTATCCTAGCGCGAGCAGACACCAAAATCGGGATCCTTGCCAAGTGCTTATCCCGTTTGCGTGATATTATTGCACGCTCGGTGAATAAAGGGTAAGGGGTGGAGACGGAAGAGTCAGTCCTGTCCTAGTGATCTATATGCTGATGTAGGAGATAATGAATGTCACAAATTGCTATTCTAAATGTCTTATCAGGTACTGGAGCTGGTATGAAGGGTTTTCTCTCAAGGCATGAGGTACTTGGTCCTGCTGATATGCTACAGTATTCATCTGGGATCCTCAGCAGAACAAGAAACCGAAACCACCTTGATGTTCCTCCCCAAAACCATCATGTTTGGGTTTTTTTCCATTTATGGACTTTCTAGGACATTTTGAGACACTGGAAACACCAGTGAACTGTCTGCCATCAACATTAACTCCACAGACTTTGCTGCTGCTGCTGGTGGTGGTATGGTTGTCTAATTTTTATGATAGGAAAACAAATTCTTTTAAATAAAAACAAAAAGGAATAATAAAATTTATTGAGCCACAAGCTGAAGCTGGAAGATTCTCTCTTGTTGCATATGGGAACAGATTTACTTGGGAAGGGAGCTTACAGGACCACACAGGGCTGTCCTTAGTTGCACATCTCTGGTTACTTTCATCTGGACTGTTCCTTCATCCCCATTGGAAAAAGAAAGTCTCTAAGCCTTACCTGGACATGCAAGCAATCTGCTTTGAGATCTCATAACGATATGGTTCAGTTGTTCCTTTGATTTATTTTTTTTCTTTTTAGATGCATTAAATGTTGAGAAATGTCACCCAGGTTGACACCTCTGGAGACTGAAGTCCTCTGGTCATCAAGAAGAGAAGGGCTTGCTCCTCTCCTTATGCCCCTGCCTCGACCCAAAGGGGCAGCTCCAAAGGAGAGGAGTAAGTTGTCCTTCTGTCCATGCGAGCCTGGGCCTCTCTGCTGCCTGCCACCAGCAACGTGCTGAGATGAGGTGACCTGCAGTTGCCTGGGACTTGGACTGACCTCACCAAGACATCGTGGGATAACGATCTCCCCCCTGACTGACCTGGCTGCGTTTGACTATCTCAGCTAGTGGAGGAAGCTTCTAGATGCAGTTACCAAAGCCCTGCACCACTTAATCGCCCCTGTGGTCTGGTTGCATTTGTCCCTCTCTGCACACCATGGAAGCCAAGCATTTTGAATGTTTGTAATAAGAGAGGGGATGGAGTTGGTTTGTAATGTGTTTCAGAGCCATGATATAAGTAGCCTTATTTTTAATGGTCATGCATACACTTAATTGTACATATGGAGGGGGAATAAACCATGATGCTAAGAGTCGTTGTTGCTTTGTTGGCAGGATAGCGGGAGGGGTAAGAAGGTGCAGACAGTCTTCACAAGTAGCAGTCATGCTGAGCTGTCAGGGTTGCTGCCAGGACTCGTTAAGCTTGAAAGTGGAATCGGTGGGCGTAGCATCTTTTCCTAGCTGCGGGTGGCGAAGGTGCAATGTATACAGTGATACCTGTGGGAAGCATTTCGGTTTGCAAACAGAATCTCTCTGCCTTTATTCATTGCTGTACGCGTCTCCCTCGCGCCTCTGAGGCTGAGATTGCCGCAGGGACTTCTCTCCATGTCAGCAAAGCAAGGCCCTGCTGCAGTCTTGGGCCACCCATCAAGAAACCGTAACTGATGGTGGTGTGTGAAAGGTGTCTTATGTCTTCCGGGTGTTAAAAGCCTGATTCTGATCTTCCCAGACAGGTTATGTGGTCTTTTGACATCCTTTGGTCACAGGACAGAAAAGAAAAACAAGGGTGCTCTTGGGGGTACGAACAAAGGAGCAGGGATGAAGCCTTACAGCAGAGTTGGGGCAGATCCTGTCCTGATTCAACGTTGGTGCCTTTTTCCATGCTCCTTCAACCAACAACTGTGGCTCTCAGCTAGAAGGGTGTGGGACACACTGAAATTGCTGTTGGCTTCTGGAGAGTCTTGTCCAGTGGGGAGAAACGTGATGCTCAGCTCCAAGAGAGGTGTGGATGGCCCCCAGATGCTGCGTGCTGGTTTTCTTCCATGGTTTCTGGCGTGCCAGTGGGGGGGGGTGAGAGCAACGAGAGAAGGGAAGGAGAGAAAAGAGAGCACGCTAGCGCGTGTCCTTCTCCGAGGTGCTATCTGCAGGTCTCTATCGTATGAGTCACCAGAGTCACTGTGGCAGAAGGAAATGAAATTGGTTCCTTCTGTCAGATGGCAGCTGATGCGTCCCGCTAGCTTGATTTCTATTTTGCTGCATTTTAAGAGAATTTGGTGCTGGGTGACTGTGCTGAGCTGCGCGGAGCATCCTTCCCAGCCAGCCACCGCTGAAGGCAGGGCCGGCGCGAGGAGCGATGGCCATCGCTCTTGCTGCTTCCCTTGGTTTCAGGCATGGGTTTCCCTCAGCCTCTGGCTTGTTTATGGATGCCTTACTAATTTATTTTGCAAGCTGCCGGGGCTGCTGTTGTACCCCTGCTCTGTGCCATCCAGCTGCTGCCTGGCAGGTGACCTTATTCCTTCTCTCCCCCAACTTGAAGGTCCTCTGTGTTTTAAATGGAAATCACTCCGACGAAGCTGAGATCTTAAAAACAGAAGAAAAAAAAAACCAGCTATTTTGAATGCTGTAAGGTTACTCCTTGAATTAAACAGGGAAAACAGTTTAACATCGGCTGCCTTTATTTTTTCGGTTTTCATTCTGTTTCAATCAAGATAAAATGCAAATTTGGTGTCTGTCCCTAATTAGAAACACAGCAGCTCATGAACACAAGTTGATGGCATTTTTTGTCTTTGTCTCTTTGTCACAAGCGGTACGCTCCTTATTTTAATCCCCTTAATTTTCTTTCCTTCAGGTAGCTCTTTACATTTGACATATTAAGTCGCATATAATTACTTACTGTAATCTCTTTTTTTTTTTAACAGCATTTGGTCAATATTTTTTTAATTAGTCGCCTCCTCAACAAATGGTCTCTATCAGGTTTTCAGCCTTTTTAGAGACGGGGAGTGGTTGAGTTTGGGAGGGACCTCCGGAGGTCTCTGGTCCAGCCCCCTGCCCAGAGCAGGGCTTGCCTCGAAGTCAGATGAGGTTGCTCCAGGGCTTGGAGATGTTCACAACTCAACCGAGCAAGGATCGGAGATTTGTCAGTCCCTCTGGAAACCTGTTCCAGCGCTTAACCGCTCTCCTTGTGAAAATTAATTGCAGATGGTGGGCACTTGGAGTCCTTATTCTCATTTTCTTCTTTCGAAAGAACAGGGTTGCAAAGCCCTTGGCTGGAAGCTGCCCCAGCACGGTTTTGCCTCCAGCGCTCGTGTCCCTGCAAGAGGTGTTGGATGAGTCAGATTTTTCTTTGAGAAAGGGAATTTAAAACCCTGCCTGGCCAGCCAGCCTCTTTAATTAATTTTAAAGTATTTAATAGAAGAGTAGGAGGAACATGCCTCAATGCTAAAAAGAAGTTCAGCGCTGGAGGGAATCGAAAATGATGGTCAAGGGGAAATTTAAATTAATATCAATATGTCAGGGCTTTTCAGCAGCAAGTGTGGACGGCTGCTAATGCCAGCGTTCGACCTGAGCACTGGAGCCTTGTTTGTTTAGGGTAATTTTGTTTAACTATGGAAGGTCGTAACGACAGCAGCGGATAATTGGAAAGGCAAATCTAACTCCTTCCGTCAGGTGTGCTCCGGTGCACCCAGCGCGTCTCGGAGCAACAGGCTGAGGGCCCTCGGTAGCACCCCGTCCCCTAACCCTGGCCTGTCATCCCACAGCTTGTCACGGGCAAGCCTGATAGTGTCCCCCTCCCTCTTCAAGCCTAATTTAAAGCTCTGTCAATGAGCCCCGCTAGCTCACGAGCAAAGACCCTCTTCCCCCTTGGAGAAAGGTGAATCCCATCTGACGCCAGCAAGCCTGGTGCTGTGTAGGCCATCCCATTATGGAAAAAACCCAAACTGTGGTGGTGACACCAGCCACGGAGCCAGGTATGAGACCCCCAAATTTGTGGTAGTGACCCCAGCCACAGAGCCATGTATTAATAGACTGGGTCTATCTGTTTCTTCCAATGTCGCTGCCCGCAACTGGAAGGAGAGAGGAAAAAATAACCTGGGCTCCAGATCCCCTCGCCAACGGTCCCAAGGCCCTGAAGTCTCTTTTGATCGCCCTTGGACTACGCGTTGCGGCTTCGTTGCCACCCACATGGAAGAGCAGTAACGGGTAATAGTCCGCGGGCCGCACCGGGCTGGGAGGTTTCCTAGTGCTGTCCTTAACGCGGGCCCCAGGCAGGCGGCAGGCTTCCCCCAGATCCTCCTCGCGTGCTCTCCAAGAGGGGTTTGCCTTCCTCTCGGCAGCGCAGAGCCCGCGCGCCGCGCTTGCTCGTGGGTGTGGGGTTGTTACGGAGCATCTGCGGGAGCTCGGGGGCTGTCACCTCCTTTAAAAGTTGAGGGGCTGAGGGGTTCGGCTAGCGGGGAGGTGTGCCTAAGACCATGGGAAGCCATGAATTGTAGCAGGATTCGTCAGATAAGGACCAAAGCCCACATCTTCTACCTTTCAGAGGAGCACTTGTAGCCCTAGTCCCTGCAGCCTTCTGGTAATCATCACCGCACAGTTTGCTTTAGTTTTGCTTTCAGAGTGAGCTGCAAATGGGTTCTTTGATGCGAGGGTCTTCTCATCCTTCTCTCTGTTCAACTACAAGGCAGTAGTAAGTCTTTAACATCTTCATAAATGAATTAAAGTGGTTGTTTGGGTTAAAGCAAGACTTCTTCCTCTGCTTCACGTGTTAACCAGCCAGGTCTTGCCAAAAAACTGTTTTAAATCTTTCCAGCTTAACTTTCACACCTAAGTCTGGCTCTGGCTGACGGTTGGCCATCGTTACTCAGCAGAGGCAAGACAATAATTCATCCTCCGATATCAAGCAGCAGGAAAAAATCTTGGGCGGGGAAAAAGTGAGTTTTTCGACATCTCTCAGAAATAAATGATGAGAAAGAAAACTAAGTGTGGACCTTCCTTGGCCGGTCTGCAGTGCAAGGGGAGAAGGTGGTTCCAGCTCTTCCAGGACCGCAGTTCTTCGTGAACCTTTCAGGTGAAGGAGGGCTCCGCACACCCATCGTAGCCTCTTCTGATCTGCCTGGAGTAGCAAGTGGCTGCTACCATCAGCAGCCTGTTGTGGAAAATAGCTCATCGGGGAGTCGGGGGGAAGAACAATCTCGTCTGTGATAGCGGTGGCAAAGGCAGAGAGAGGCAGGTTACTTTTTTCCTCTCCTAGTTTTGCCTTCTCTTAAAGGTGTTACTGTCTCCCCGGTGTTTTCGGGGAGGTGGATTGACCTTGA